TTGTTCAAATGACAGTGGTGCTATTTCTCTTTTGTGGCCTTTTAGACTTTTGTTGCCCTAAAATTCCATTTTGTCGGGAACCCATTTTCCACCTGGTCTTTCTTGACAGGGTTTTTTTCTACTTTTAAACAGTTTCTAAATAAAATTCTGTATTTCAAAAAAAAAAAAAAATGTATTGCTTAGTCCAAACACACTATTCTAGATGTGTACTTATTGGCAAAACCCCTGCAGTATACAAATATCACCTTCAAGGAGAGAAAAATGGAATACATCTGCATTAACAATGTAAATACATTCAGTAACATTTATATTTATTCACATTAAACACTGACACACATGCCAGGATACTTTTCTAGAATTATCTTGTCACTATTTGAATCAAAAGCCTTTAGTGGCTTTCCATCTCACCCAGAGAAAAACCTATGCTCTTATACAGGCCTCTAAGGCCTCAGACATCCTGTTCTTTTTTTGTTCCTTTTTTTCCTGTTATTCTTCCTCCATTGCAACAAAAGAGCCTCTTAGCTATTCCCTGAGCTTCTCATGCATGATTTCACCTCAGACTTTGTTACTTTCCTTGTTCCTCTGCCTAGAATACCCTCTATCCCATGTAACTGATGGGTTATTTTCTCTAGGTCAAATGTCACCTTCTCAGTGAGACCTACCCTGGTTGTCCTATGAAATATAGCAACTTCAACTTCCCAATATTTCCTATGCTCCTTTCCTTATTTTGCTTTTCTTTACGGTGCTCACACTATTTAAATAGTTTATCCATCTCTCCCATCTACTAATTGATTGATGTCTTTCATCTTCTCTCTGAGAATAGGCCTTTTCTGTTTTATCCACTACTATATAATACTGCCTGGCAAATAAGTTTTTTTTTTTCTACTTATAAATGGAAGATTCTAACTTTTTTTTTCCTACTTACAAATCACAAGGCTTGGGTTTCTATAAAGAGAATCATAAAGCGGAGAGAGGAGTTGGGGGTGGCACTCAGAGATAAGAGCACATGCCCTTCATACATAAGGCCCCGAGTTTCATTCCCAGCATGGGGGATAAAAAGACTAGCAAATCCTGAAATATTCTAGACACACTTTTGATCTTTTAGTAGTTTTAGTATTAATAATCAAAGTGACACCCAGAGTATTTTAAAGAGAATTATTAGCTAGAAAGAATGAGTAAAGAAAGGACTATGAGTAATACCTACACACATGCATTAAGGAGTCTAGATAGAATAGGGATTATGTTAAGTGTAGAATTTAGAGTCAAACTGTTCCTTTCTAGGTATGCAAACCTAGGCAAGTTACATAACCATTATATGCATCATTTTCCTCAAGTGTAAACGGGTATTGTAACAGTTCCTATCATTACAATATTGATACAATGTTAAATATATATTCCTGCATATGTATTAAATGCTAATTATTATCAGCACTGTAAATCTGGCATATAAACTCAATGAAAGTATAAACTTTTCATACTTTATTCTGAAAGGTATTAAACCATCGGCTTATCTGATAAAGACTATAACACATAAAAACAAGTACAACAAATTAACTGCTACATGAGAATCTAGGACTTACAAAACACATTTATTCCACTATTTTCTAGTATTAACTAAAGTACTATATATTCTGGTATAATACTCACTTTGAGTTTTATTTACAAGTCATTTATAGTATAAAACAGAAATATTTAACTTCATACCTTTTACTTTTACCAATAATTCTCAATCTTTTATTCTCCAACATACATGAGAAATACAGCACACTCCCATTAGGAGCAGTGTCACAGCAGAACAATCATTCTCTAAGTAGGGGGAGAATAGCAACGGTTGGGTAAAGGTGGGTTTTCAGGATTTGAAAATTACGAGTTTGCAGAGTGGGAAAATATATTTGTCTAAAAAACAGCTATTTTTCAAACTCAAGAAATGGAGGTAAATCTATAGAAAAATATAAAGTATATCTCACAGATCCATTTTTAATTTATATCCAAAAAGATATATAAAAATCTCTTACTAGTGTGTTTTCTCCATTGGAACTATTCCAGAGCCTCATTCGATTATCTGTACCAACAGTGAGGAGGTGAAGCCCATCACTTGTAAAACATAAGCCATTAACTTTCCCATTATGAGCAGTGTTTGCTGCAATGAAAAACACAGTTCGGTTCTTTTCCTGTATTTGGCATATGTTTAATGTGAAAGATAAAATTATTTAAACATATTAAGGAACACTACCTGAGTTACTTAAACTATATATAAATTGATTACATTTAAAATTAACTAACCCTTCAGATTATTTGAATATGATAGGCCATATGAATCAGAATGATAAAAATACAGGAAAATCAAAGGGAGAAAGATCTTGCCAAATATAATTATTTTCAGCAAGTAAACTATGCTATCAAATTCAACTAAATGCATAGCTTAACACTAAAACTTTAATCACCTTTCATCCCTCTTACATATTATTTTCATTTCTAATCAAAAAATCATTCATAGACTCTTAAAAATCATTAAAAAGAAAAGTTTAATGGAAACAGCTGGGCATGGTGGCACCCACATTTAATCCAGCTTGGAAGCTGAGGCAAGAGGACTGCAAGTTCAAAGCCAGCCTCAGAAACTTAGCAAGGGCCTAAAAGAGATTCTGTCTCAAAATAAAAAATAAAAATAAAAGGAACTTGGATGTGATTCAGTAGTTAAGAGCTGCCTCAGGGCTCAATCCTGCTACAAAAAATAAGAAAAAAAAAGTTCAATAGAAAGAATAACTGATCATTTCAAATCAAAATTTATTACCATTTTCAAAATTAGTTTGAGAAAGCACAATTCCTAATAGTCTGTTACCACAATGTTTCATGTACTTCATCCTAATATACTTCTAGTCCAGAATTAATTCTGAGTGAAAGTTTTTATATAGATTTAAATTCTAATATAAAAATACAGTTGAGGGCTAAGCCTGTAGCTCAGAGGCAGCGCCCTTGTCTAGCATGTGTGAAGCACTGGGTTTGAGCCTTAGCACCATATAAAAATAAATAAAAGCATTCTGTCCAACTACAACTACAAAAAAAAATTAAAAGAAAAAATATAGCTGAGATACATTGTCACAGGGATTGCAGCTGACTCACATTTAATACAACTTGCAGTTTTTATGTTGACACAATGGCACAAATACTACTGATTCTGTAATTTATTGTAGTTTCCTACTTGCCATTTAATTTGTATAGCTAGTCTCATTGGGGGTAAAAATCAGTAAAGCAAATTAATCTAGAAAAGCTTCTGTTTGAAAGTTTGGAGGCAAGAGAAAATGCCATAATTATTTTATTTTTGAGAAAGACAATGGACAACCATAATTTAGTTTAAGTAATTTAAAACATGATTCATGGTAAATATCTTCCAAAAAAATCATAAAGTTTATGATATATATATCATATATTTACCAACATATATTTATTATTTGGCTTCAATTTAAAATCTTAGTATAAAAATTACTATTATCTTATTTCTATATTATTATAATCTTAATTACCTGATTCAGCAGCTTGTGACTTTTTCCCATTATGCTGATCAAGATTAATCAAACATCCTGAAGCTCTCCTCACATCCCATAATTTTACTCTACTGTCAGCACTGGAAAGAAATAAACGTTACTGAATACACGCAGCTAGAATAGTAATTGTACACCTCATGCACATTTCTAGCACTGACACATAGTTTTCATTATATTAACATGAATGTATTTGTACAATTGGATTGTTATTCTTTTGCCTTTTTAGCAAATAATAATACATAATAGTAGCATGAAGATGAGAAACACAGCAAAAGAAAGGACAAAAATTGTGCTTTTATGCTGTTTTTAACTATAGGAGCATCTTCCCTACAAGGTCCTTGCAAGTTTGTTACTACATCTTTTCTATTATTGTTATTCAAATACTACCTAGACAATAAAGCAGTTAATTAATTTCACTTTCAGAATCTATGTGGCATAAATTAGGTGATTTTCCTTTTTATATAAAACTTGAGAATAAGGTGAATAATGAGAACAATGTATTTTCATTTTTTTTAGTTATATATAACACTAGGATTCATTTTGACAAAATTATAAAAGCAGGGAATATAATTTGTTCTAATTCAGTCCCCAGTACTGCCCTTTCTCTTCCCTCCCCCGCCTTCCCTTCCCTTTACTCTACTGATCTTTCTGCTATTCCTTCCTTCCGCCCTTCCTCTCTCCCTTCCTTTCAAAATATCCCTTCTAGCCAGAAAGGGGCACACCTAGAGGCTGGAACAGGAGGATTGTGAGTTCAAAGCCATCTTCAGCAAAGGCTAGGCACTAAGCAATTCAGTGAGACCCTGTTATATAAAATACAAAATAGGGTTGTGGCTCAGTGGACAGAGTGCCCCTGAGTTCAATCCCTAGTACATGCCCTCCCTCCCCGCCCAAATCCCTTCATTTCTATTTCTACCTATTTCTTTCTGCTGGTACTTTCTTCCCATAATATTAAATATTCAATATTCTTCCCTTCAACAAACAACCCACTAAATCTTTTGACCCTTTCACAGTCAAAAGTTTCTGCTTTCCTTTCCTATATTACACCTACCAAAGATGTACCTGTACTAAAGCATCTTTCCAAATGTCCTATGATCACTTATTTTCCCCTAGTTAGATTCTTAGCTCCAGAAAGTCTTAGTTACCTCTGTGGCACTAGAACTATGTTTGGCACATGGTAGGTAGCCATCAAATGCTGGTAAGTTGAATCAATGAATAAATACATGTTTTGTATTAGAGTTGAAATAATTCTAGGTTAAAGAAGATGAATAAAAATGCCACTATTAAATTAATATAGTGTTGCACTTTTGTGTGCAAAAATGATACCACACAACTATTTCATTAGTAGTGTTAGTTGATTTAGATTACTATATAGTTTGTGTTTTCTCTATTCTAAAAGACAAATACCCTCAAGATGGTTAGTTAGGATTAGGATTACAATGCAAAAATTTCTTTACTGATATGAATTAAAAATCTGAAAAAGCATTTCATTTTTTAAGGGCTAATTAATGAGTACATATGCTAAATAAAATGTGTATCCTACATAAGTATATTTTTTAAAATGCTTATTATTAATTACTAACATAAACACCAAAATCAAATAAGTTGCATTTTACCTTGCAGTAGCCAAGATATACTCATAACGTGGTGACCAGGAAACTGCCAAGATTTCCTGTCTGTGACCTGCAAACATAACTATATGAAAAGTCTTATACAATATTCAAAAATCAGAAGATAAAGTATCAATAACTGCCTGATTCTGAAGAAAGTAATCATAAATATTAGGAGTGAATGGATACTCTGATTAGTTTTCACATTTATAATAATCTATGTTTAAATGCTATATATTATTTAATATAAAAGGACTGGTTTTGCTTTGGAAAGAACAAAGCAAGTGAATATTTTATAAAAAAAAATACAGTTGTTAGCCTATGTCAGTCAATTCATACAACTCAAGCTTAATTACTTAGTTCTATGATAAAAAGCCACACAATAAAACATAAGACAAACATTTCAAAGGAATACAAATATTTCCTAATTGCTCATAAAGTTGTAACAAAAAAAATGTGATTGTAAGCAAGCAAGTGTATAAATTTTTTTTCCAGAAAGCACAATTTTTTTCTAGGTTCACAGGGCGATTTCAACATTTTAGCTCGCTATTATCACCTAAATGAATTATTCAAATCTGACATATTCATCTGCCAAGCTTACCTCCATAGAAATTCATAATAATATAAAAAATGCTAAACATCCCACCAAATTTTCTTGATATATTTAGTATCCTTTCCTCAGAGATGAATAAAAATGTACATTTCTGGATTATATTTCATGTTTTCATTGTTTAGAATTCAAATCTAATACTGATGAAAAAGTAGCAAAAAATTTCAATCAATATACTTTTTTCAAAGAAGTTTAATTTTTTCTAAAATATTTTTGAAGAAAAAATACACTAATTAAGAACAATGTTTACTCATTAGATGAAACAATATTAGGCAATGCTAATGACACAAATTACTGACTTAAGTTTCATCAGCAGTTTATTGTTTTAAATGTAGAAGTAACATAAGGTTTTGAGTTAGACCTATTTTCCCTATCCTTTGAGCTTCCCCTATGGCCACTTGTCAATAGTTCAGTTTTATAAGAACAATGCACAGAAGGATCCTTATTTCACTGTTGACTCTTCACAACTAGTACAAAATACATCACTCATGTCACTTACAAAGAATACATTGTTAGTAATGTTTCTTTTTACTGAATGGTTTACTCAAAGTAATAGTTGTTTCAAATTAAGAAAAAAAAATACCCTGTAGAATATGAGAACAGGATCCAGACTTTAAGTCACAAAGTTTTACTTTGGGTCCTCTAGTACCAACTGTAAAAACAAACAAAAAAATGGTTTAATATAATGCTATTATAAATCATCATCAAAAGGAAACAACACATTAACAGGAATCATGACATTTTCACTGTATCCATGCATAGATATAAAAATGTATGCCAAATATACATTTCAAATCATCTCGAATGCTTGTAATTAAAAAAAATATTTTATAGTTATACTTTAGTAGAAAGAGAACTCTATTAGTGCATCATTTTAAAGTTTAAACTAATTACAGATTTGCAGGAAGCTGCAAAACTATTATAAAGAGGCCTGTATACCCTTTATCCAGATTCCTCAAATCACTTAGTTGACCAAAGTACAATGTCAAAATCAGAAAATTTATCTGGAAATTTAAATGTGTGTGTATAATTCTATCCCATATTTCCCACATCAGATCATTTATTTTAATAGCTTAGTTTTTCCAAGTTAACGATATACTTTGAATTGTAACAGATTCACAAAAAATGTGGACAGAGACTGAACCTCAAAGACAAATTAGTGCCTAGCTCTTCTTTATAGATGAAGCATCTGAATGTCTAGAGGCGAAGAGACTTTCCATAGAAATAACTGAATCATAGTAAACAGATATCCAACACTAGGAAACCTGTTTTTCTTCTATACATATGAAAACGTATAGCACGTGCTTTCATATAAATGGATTTAAAATTTTAATTTCCTTGTTTTTAAATGTCAAATTGAAAAAGTTGTCAAATTTTGTTCATGTAAAATTTTTGAGCTGGGCATGGTGGCACATGCCTATAATCCCTGCAAGTTGGGAGGGTGAGACAGGAAGATCTCAAGTTTGAAACCACCCTTAGCAACCCAGTGGGGCCCTTAGCAATTTAGTGAAACCCTGTCTCAAAACTGAAAAAAAAAAAAAAAAAAAAATTAGAAATGGCTGGAGATGTGGCTGAGTAGGAAAACACCCGGGGGCCCATTCTCCAGTACCAAAAAAATTAGGAAAAAAAAAAAAAAAATCTTTGGGCTGGGGCTATAGCTCAGTGGTAGAGCATTTGCCTTGCACATATGAGGCACTGGGTTCAATCCTTAGCACCATAAAAAAATAAATAAATAAAGGCATTATGTTCATATACAACTAAAAAAATAATTTGAGAATTTAATGACTTAAAAGCAACTTTTTTAAATATTTATTTTTTAGTTACAGGTGGACACAATATCTTTATTTTATTTTTATGTGGTACTGAGGATCAAACCTAGTGCCTCATGCATGCTAGGCAAGCACTCTACCTCTGAGCCACAACCGCAGCATCTTTTAGGGAACAAAAAAATATGACTTTTTTTTTTTTTTTTTTGGTAGTACTGGGAATAGAACCCAGGAACATTCTAGCACTGAGCTGCAACCCCAGCCCTTTTTATTTTGAGACAGGGTCTTCCTAAGCTGCCAAGGCTGGCCTTGAATTTGTGATCCTCCTGCCTTAGCCTCCCTAGATCTTGGGATTACAGTCATACAACACTGTGCCCATTCAGAAATAGGCTTTCTTAATCTTTGCATCTGGCCATTAGCAAGTGCTTGACTTCACATTATCTATTGAACCGAACATAAATAGTAACATACTTTAAAAAAAAACAAAACTGTGTGGCTGGGAACTGTGACACATGCCTATGATTTCAGCAACTCAGGAAGCTGAGGTAGACTGGCAAGTTTTAGGCCAGCCTCTGCAATTTAGGGAGGCCCTGTCTCAAAACATAAAAATAAAAAGGGCTGGGGATATACCTCAGTAGTACTATACCCCTAGTTCAATCCCCAATAGTGCAGTGGGGAAAAAAAAAGAACTGTCATCATCTGGGTTAAAATGTCTATCATGGCTAAGTAGATAAAAAAGGGAGAAAACTAAGTATGTTAAAAGACAAAAGAACATACATACAAACCTGCTACCAAACAGTGCTTGGTCGCAACTGGAGACATATGATGACTATAAACTGTTTCTTCAAAATTAAATACATCTGCAGTCTGATAAAAAAAAAAAAGGACATTTAAAAAGTGTAAGTTGTAATGATAAAATCTAAGGAAGAGGGATGGGGTTGCAGCTCAGTGGTGGAGTGCTTGTCTTGCATGTATGAGGCATTGGGTTCAATCCTCAGCACCATATACAAATAAATAATAATAAAAAAAAGGCCTTCTGTTCATTTAAAACTAAAAAAAAATTTTTTTCAAAAATCAAAGGAACAAATTTTCTTTTTTCCACTTTTCAGCAATTTTTAAATTGACTATTAGCAATTTATTTAGCTTAAACATACAATAAATCCTAGAAATTAAAAAAAGACAGCTACCTGGCTCACCATCTTCGTCTCTACTCACTCTAAGGACTTTCGGTATCTATCCACATGGATGACCTCGCCAGCCATCTGCCTTTCAGTACCCTATGGCCTTAGCCACCTCAGGACATGCTGTTCTATAATTTCTCCTCCTCTGAAATCATTTATTTCAGTTATCTATGACAATAATCACTTTGAATTTTTTCCTTAACTCTTACATTTTAATTAACACTAGGACTCTTATCAGCAGCTCATCCTGTCCCCTTGTTTTCCTTTCCAGCTTGGATTCCAAAGTGTAACACATCACCCTACCAGTATCTTTCATTCTTTGCCATTAGCTTTCCATTTGTCAAGATGCCTCTGAATAATTCCAAATGTTAACCTTTTCTGAACCTACATCCAAGATAATCCTACAAAGGGGTTGACAAACGTTTTCGGTAAAGGATAAGACAGTAAAAATTTTAGGCTTTGAGGACCACATAGTTATCTGGGCCATAGTTATGGTAAAGCATCTACAGACAACTAATGGGAATGTTTGTGTTCCAGTAATATTTTATTTATAAAAAGAGGCCACTAGTAAGACTTGCTACAGTCACAGACTTGGCCAATCACTGTTCTACCTTGGTAAGATGAAGAATATCTTATAGTTAGCAAACTGGTTATCACTATATAAGACCATTCATTTCAGCAGGACTTTCAATCATGACTGTAAGTCCTACTAGTCACTATTTCAGTAGTATTCGCCATAATATTCTGCAGCTATTTCAAACTCGATTCACTCCCCACTCATTCACTGCAGGTGATCTGATTTTTCAATGCAAATAGAAAATAGGAGCCACTCAATCAGAATTCCTTTAATGGCTTACCAACAAAACTACAAAACAATAACCCTGCTTCTACTTACCCTTTTACCTTTTCACTCATTATGCAAAAATGATTCCTCTCCATTCCAAAAGTTAATTTCCCTACTTCTGTTCAGACCCTCTTCAGCAGACAGAAATCTCACTCTACAGATTACCTCCCACATAGCTATGAATTCTCTCCTTACTGGCTCACTCCAAATAGCACTGAAAGTTCAAATCTCTTATTTTCACACTTCCCCAAGATAAAAAAAAAAAAATTAAAACCCCAAATACCTTTCACCTTACATTTCCCTTAGTCTTCTTTCCTCCTCTGCAACATCTAAACTTTGGCTATCTTTAATTCCTTACCTTTTATGTACTTCTCAATTCACTGAAATCTTATTTTCAATAGTAGAAGTTTCACTACTGTATTCACACTACTCTTCCAATATCATGGGTTATACATAGACACAATATCTTTATTTTATTTTATCTAATTTGTCTGCAACATTCAACACAACTGATTACTCCACAGTCTTTAAAACAATCTCTTGGGCTAGGGTTGTGGTTCAGTGGTAGAGCGCTCTCCTAGCATATGTGAGCCACTGGGTTCCATCCTCAGCACCACGTAAAATAAAAGAAATATATATATATAAAAATCTCTTTCACTGGTGTCATATGCTCATAAGCTGTTAACTTTACTCTTTGGCTCTTCCTTTCATTGCTTTTGCAGGCTTTGTTGTTCCTTTTTTTGTCCTATTAATTCTGACTTCTGGTTGTGAGCTCTTCCAACTTCATTTCTTTAAAAGAAAGCCTTATCTCTGCATTTTCATATAAACATTAGAATTAGCTACTCAGTTTCCAAGATTTTGATTGGAATGAGTGATTCTAAAGATCACTTTGGGTAGAACTGGTATTTTCACAATTATTAACTTTCTAATTCTTGAATGTAGCATAGTTTACCATTTATTTGGGTCTTAATATCTCTCAATAATATTTTATAACTTTCTGTGTAGAGTTGAAGTGGTCTTGTAAATTTCTATTCAATCTACTAGTAGATATATAATGATTTTTTTATGTAATTGTGAATGGTATTAGTTTTGACATTTCATTTTATAATTGTTTGTGCCTGGAATTCAGAAACAATTGATCTTATATCCAACAACTCAGCTAAATGTATCCATACAAATTCTAATAGTTTGGCTATAGATTCTTTTGCATTTTTTATGTTCATAATCATATTTTCTTTGAATGACAGTTTCAACGTCTCCTTATTGATTCTTTTGCCTTTTATTTCCTTTGTTTGCCTTATTTAACTGGCTAAGACTTCCAGTACAATGCTGAACAGAGACAATAACATGATAATTCAATAGGAAAGTTTTCAAATTTTTACCACAGAAAAATTTGCTTACATTGTTAAAAAGTTTCTCTCTCTTTTTAAAATCAAATTAAAAGATGTCCCTTTTCCTCATTAAGACTTTAAAATATTTGGATGTTTTTAGGTGATCATGTAATTTTTTACTTTCATTCTAATAACATGGTAAATTACATTAATTTGTTTTTGGATGCTAAAACAACTTTGTTTCTTAAAATAAATACCATTCAATTGTGATATATTATTCATTTTGTATGTTGCTAGAGTATATTTACTAACAGTCTGTTTAGGATTTTTGTGTGTGTATTTATAAGCCATACCAGTCAATTTCCCATATGATATCCACTGAAGTTTTGAAATCAAGGATGTGCTCACTTCATAAAATGAGTTTGCAAATAAATGTTCTTTCCCCCCACCCCCCTCCTTTATCATCTTGAGGTTGTTTTCTTTTTCCCCTTCAAGCTTCAGTATAGGACTGGTATTACTTATTTTTAAAATGCTTACAATAATTTATTGATAAAGGCATCATGACTTGGAGATGTCAGTCTGTCTCTATTGTCTGATTTTTGGTAGTTTCTGATTGGGTGCCAAAAATTATGTGTGAAAAATGAAAGACTCTATATAATGCTAACATCTTTAGAGAAGGTTCAATCTACCTTTGGTAGGAGGAGAGGTACAGATTATCTCAATTCAATCAGGGAACTGAGTTAATTTATAAACCTGATTTGCCATCTGTGTAAATTTTTAATTTTCTACTGTTGAGGTAAGGAATCACCATAATCTCAGTTGCTTGCACAAACACAAAATTTATTATCTGCTTACAGGCTAGAAGTATCATATGGGTCCCACTGGACTATAATCAAGGTGCTGGCAATGCTGCCTTCCTTTATGGAAACTCCAAGAGAGAACCCCTTTTCAACTTTAGCTTATGGTTCCATCATCTATCTTCAAAGTCAGCAATTTTATATTTCTCATACTATTCCATACTCTAATGCTCTTCCACTGCCTCCCTATTCTACTTTTTAAAATCCTTGTAATTATAGTGGACCCATCAGGATAATCCAGATAAATCTCCATATCTTATGGTCAGGTGATTAGCAAATTTAATTTCCCTAACATATTTAATAGGGTCTGCAGATTATGCCATAGAATCTTGGGAGGGAGGAGTTTTATTCTGCCTTCCACAGACACCATTTATCTTCTATTTGTACCCATTCTCAGGGTACATCCCTCCAGTTGCCCTAAGAGCCTGGGTTTCTATAGAACTCCTCATACTTAGTAAGTACTATATAGTAACATTTTCCCTCAGTACCATGTGAGTGGGGGAAATTGCTATTTTTAGCTTTATTTCTTTGTGGTTTTCTGTAGCATGATAGGCAATGACTCAAGGGGAAAAACCAGTGTCCAATATTAGGCTGACTTCTCTATATCTCTCTTATTTATGTGATACTGACCTCTCAACATCTGGTTGACTGCTCTCTGCTCCAATTTCTGGCTCTCCAGTCTTATGAAATTGATTGAAGTACCACTGGCTTCTCTGTCCCTTAAAAGCTATCAAATGTCTACCTTTTCAGTGTCTTGCCCCACATTAAGAAATGGTAAATGGCAAAAATAAAACCCAGCAGAAAGATGAATTCATTTCTATTAGCTTTCTTTTTCTTTAGGATCTATTGTCTAGGTCCTAGATTTCTTAGCAGGGCTTTTCTAAAGCCCTCTCATAAATCTATTTTTTCCTCAATGGAGGTGCTGTTTTGGCTATAACATACTCCATTTTAGTCAGAAGGGGAAGTTCATGGCATTTATGTAATCCTTAAAATATATTCTCATTTTCAATTCTATGTATTTATTATAAAAATGAATCCAGTCTTGCATGGTAGCACATGTCTCTAATCCCAGCAACTTGGGAGGCTGAGGCAGAAGGATTGTGAATTCAAAGCCAGTCTCGGCAACTCAGTGAGGCCCTAAGCAACTTAGTGAGATCCTGTCTCAAAATTTAAAAAATAAAATAAAAAGAGCTGGGGATGTGGCTCAGTGGATAAGCACCCAATTGGTTCAACCCCAGGTACCTAAATAAATAAATCCAAAATGATCAATGGTGTATTCTCTTCTAATATTACAGATTCAAAAAAGAAAACAACTATTTAGTTTGAGTAATTACAAGTATTTTCAGTCTGTATTCATTTATAAAACAATATTTGTTATTCAGATTAGAATAATGTTTATACTTCACAGTTTATTAGTTATTGATATGGGGTTAGTTACTTAGTTCATTGGTTATCCTTAAATTATTTATTCAATAGTTACACACAGCATTGGAATTAGTAGTATATAAAACATAATCCTTTCTTTGTGGAAGTAATAATCTAGAAAAACACAAGAGTATGAAAATGATACAAAATAGTACAATAATATTTGAAATAAGAATACAGAAAACAGTGCTATGAAGTTAAAATAGAAGATAATTAATATGGATTCCAGAAGCTGAAATCATTGACTACATGACAGAACTAGAGGAACCTTAGACATCATATAGATTGATGTTATAGCGCTTAATTTTTTAGTGGAAAAGACCTTTGCTAATTAATTAAATGACTTTACTTAGAGTAACATATCTAATAAGTAGCAGAAGAGGACTAGAACTCTGGCATCCCGAGTCCTGGTTCACCATAACTGTAATAAGAAATGTGAAATTAAGGAAAAAGCTGCATAGAGAAGGAACTAAGGGTAGGGAATATTACATAATCTAGATGTGATTAGTGGACAGAGGCAGTCAATTTAGCTGTAGCAAACTATTTATTTTGAAGAACGGTAGAAGTTAGAGTTGATGGAACAAGGGGTGAAGTTATGGGTAACAGAATACCAGGCTGAGTTTAGACAATGGCAACCAGGAGAGGGTTTGTGCAGGGACATGATGAAACTGCTTTGTAATAAGATTACTTCTGGGGTAGAACTTACTGCTTTAATGAAGGAAGAAAAGTAAGGCAAAGAAACCAATAAGGAGTTTTTAGTAGTATAGATGTACAGTGAAGTATGAGAGAGTTTGAGGGAAGACTTGTCAAGATTTTATGATTAAATGGATGTGAGAGATAATGTTCAGTTTGGAACATGTTAAGTTTGAGGGGATGACACTATTTAAGTAAAGAAAGTTCTATAGACAGGTAGAGAAATAAGGGTCTAGAACTCAGTGAAGATTAGCACTAGAAATTTAAATTTGCTTACCACAGAAATGATTATCACTATCTACCTTTACTAAGCTATAATATAAATAATTCTTTTAAGCTTTTAGATTGATAGTTGAAAAAGTCCAATTTTCTTCTTTAGATCACAAGAACACAGTAGTTTTCAAACAATAAAAATAACAGCCAACAGGTTTTGAGTATTTACATATGTTAGGCACTGTTCTAGATACTTTACATACATTGGCTTATTGAATCCTTAAATCCATACTATCAGGTGCCATCATTACTCCTATTTACAGATGAGGAAACTGAGAAACACAGAAGTTTGGACATTTGCCCAGTGTCATACAGCTAGTCAGCAGCAGAGCCAGGATATAAATTCAAGTAGTCTAGCTCCCTTTAASCACTCCACTGCTTTTACATAGAACATGCAAGACCGCTTAGCACACAGTCACATGAAAATGGTTTAGGATTAAATTCTTCATCTACAGAGCATCTTCAGAGAGGTTTCATTGTACTTACTTGTAATGTATTTGTGTCCCATACTTTCAGAGTTTTATCAAATGAGCTTGATGTGAACATTCCAGTGTCATGAGGATACCACTGAACAGTCTCCACACTGTACTTGTGAACATCAGGATGATTTCTACAAAACAGTAATCAACATTTAGAAATAACATGAATTTCAAAACTGAGACTATATTAACCACAAGGAACAGTCTCAGGTAAGATTAAATGAATTGTTACAGCTACACATCTATATGCCTGTGACCTGCCTGTATAGCAGAAGGAAAGAAGAATGTTCAGGCATCTCTAGATTCAAGCTTCCATGGTATGACATGGAGGTCTGCCTCCTCCTAACATTCAAAATATGTGCAACTTCCTATTGTTGTATTATGTACAGTCTGGAGGGATCGGCTAGCTATACTGGACTTCTTCCATCTTGGTACAGGCAGTGGTTTGTCCTTACTAGAAGAGATCTCTTTTGGTTTTGGATTTACGTTTCTCGAGTTACCTTCTATCAGTACTACCATTTTTAGAATCGAATGCCTCATACACATGCATGGTATCCCACACAATATTGCTTCTTATTAAGGAACTTACTTTATGATAAAAAGACTGCAATTAGTGGATGGCCACAGGATTCACTAATAACTTATGTAACACATTACCCATAGAAGCATCATCAAAGATTCAGTTATTGATGTTATGCAACAATACAGCAGGTAATGCTGGCCTGAAGAAGTCAGTCCATGCTCTGAACTAGTAATCAACACACTATGTGTATTATCCTATTGAATCTTAATTCAAGCAAACTGGCTGTTAGAGACTTATGAGACAATGAAGGAAATCTAAACACTGACTAGATATTTACTACCAGGAATTACTGAGTGAGACTGAGGTTATGCTTACATAAAAATCTTTGTGTTTCAAAGATACATGAAAACAAATAGATGAAAAATTTTCTAGGATTTACTTCAAAATAATCCCAAGGGTGGACAGGTATGGGGTAGATTGCTTCCTAATGATAGTTGTTGAGCTGGGTTATGGGACACAATTCATTATATTATTTGCTACTTTTGTATACATGAAAAATTTCTTACAACAAAACAAACAAAAGTTAACAGAAGACTACTGCAACCTCATGCAGACAGAACCACTGCGGGCTCTGATTTCTAAGGTGAAGGTCTGCATCCCAATACTGAACATCTGTGGTGCCAATTGAAGGAAAGAGAACATAAAGCAAAGTCACAAATGCTAGCTCAGGCCTTAAAACAGCTGTAAAAATACAAAGACTGTACTATCTACCCATATTTCCATACATTCTCTGTTATATATATACTTATATATTTCAACTAATTTCCCCTTGCTTCTTTTACCTCCATTATTTTACATAGGTTAACTATATAATCAAGTCCATAGGATATATAACACTAATATAGGGCCATATAATGATAGTGGAAAATCAGATATTACCTTGAGCTGGAGCTGGATACGACACTAAATACATTCAGGATCATAACTCTTTGTGGAAGAGAATGATTCTTTGGTTTTATAGTGAACAGTGCATTGGGTTAAGTGGAACTTCTTTTTAAAAAGGGTAAGTATGGGAAGAAAGATGTAAATGGATGTTGGGCAGTCAAATAGGTGAATGGTAGTAGATATGCACCCTTTTCCATGGATTCTAAGCATTCAAACTCTTCCTGTTTGGGGGAACCCCTCTGTTTTGTTGAAAAGCAAGGTCTTGCCTTTTGTTACAGAAAGCAAAGGATTCCAGATTTCTGTTTTCTTCCTGTTGGCATCAAGGGCAAGGATATGTGTCCTGGGTTTTAGCAAGTCTACTTGAGATTCTAAAACTCAAATTACTAATACAAATCCCCAGGAGAGTTAGCCATTAATAATATCTGTGGAATTGAGTCAGTGTTGGCAACACATAGCAAAACCCAAACTAACTTGTTCCTCTGGTATGATATTTTTTTTTTTAAGAGAGAGTGGGGGGGGGGAGAGAATTTTTAATATTTATTTTTTAGTTTTCGGCGGACACAACATCTTTGTTTGTATGTGGTTCTGAGGATCGAACCTGGGCCGCACGCATGCCAGGCGAGCGCGTTACTGCTTGAGCCACATCCCCAGCCCAACTGTTTTAAATAAAACAAATCTTTACTATAATAACACATAACATCACAAATAAAAGCTAATTTATATTTTCAATGTAAATTTTAAAATAAGAAAAAATACCATATTATTCTCTTATTATGTGTGATTTGCTATTCACATTTAATAAAAACTTTGATAAAGGAATCTTTTTAGTGCTGAAAAACAAACATTAAGCATACAGATAATATCAGAAAATGGTCTAAGCCACATAAAATATGATGAGTTTTATTTAAATCATTTTTTAATAATTAGATTGTTAACATTCCTAGTGTAAAGATGAAATATGAATTCATTTTGTAAAGATGCTCATTATATGCCCATACTCAAATTCAAAGTCATATGTTTAAGATAGGGTTTGAACCCAAGAATAAAGTCATAATAAAACAATACAATGACCCATAAAGCATTTACTTTTGTTACATACCAAAAAATCAGATCATAGTCCACARAAAAATATTATATGGCATATTATATTTCATGCAATTTTGCTATATAACAATGTTAAAATGTTAGCTAAGATAAAGATAAAAATAAATCAAAGTAATATAACATCATACACTTTGGAATTTAGATATGTATGTTTAAGTGTGAGGGTGGGAGTGAGTGTAAATGTTGCCTATGCCTGTGCCTCCTAAAAATCAAGTTCCAGAGTATTTGAAGTGATACCTTGTTCTTTTACTGCTTTTTCACTTATAGTTGTTTTTACAGTTTTCAACATGCTTTTCAAAAAATATTTCATTTATTACAGAAACTTTGTAAAAATGACAGGGAAGTGTAATTAGCTCTAAACCAAAATAATCTGAACCTGAGAGAGATGACTTTTGAGTCATTTAAGCGTGTACTTCTAAAGTGAAGCACCAGACACAGAAACAACTGTCAGTCTCATAAACATACATGAATTTCAGAGCCTATAATAGTGCATTTGAAACAGCTTTAATACAGACGGGTTGCTGATGTTAATGTATCTGAACTTTGTCCTCTCAGAAGCATTTTCTCAGTACCAATTCCTTCTTTTAATGCAAAGTTCTGCTCAGATAAATTTTATGAGACAAAATTAAATGCTCATTATGAAAAAACTACCACACAGCCACAAAAGTTTATGAGATTCTTAAAAACAATTTTCACTAGAGATGACAAATAGAAATATGTTTATATGTTAAGCATTTTTAAGTAGAGACAAAGGAATGGTGTATAGGTGTCTCTGTATGTTTGGTGAGGGAGTACATGCATATTTGTTATGTCTAGCTCTTCATTTTTTTTTAAAAATTCCTTCTCATTTTTGCAGTATTGGAAATTGGACCCAGGGCCTCACACATGCTATGCAAGTGCTCTACCACTGAGCTATATCCTCAGTCCTATATCTAGTTCTTAATATTTTTATTTCACTAGTATCAGCTGAAACAAGCCTACTTTATGTTTATAATTAGCTGAAAGACTCCTAATTGAATCTTACATTAAATGGTACTAAAAACTGTAGTTATTCAGATGTGCTCTGTAAGTAGAGGGGAAAAAAAAAAGACAATCAAAATGTTTTTAAGCTGGGCATGGTGGTACATGCCTGTAATCCCAGCAGCTCAGGAGGCTGAGACAGGAGGATCCCTAGTTCAAAGCCAGCCTCAGCAATGGCGAGGCGCTGAGCAACTCAGTGAGACCCTGTCTGTAATAAAATACAAAATATGGTTGGGGATGTGGCTTAGTGGTTGAGTGCCCCCGAGTTCAATTCCCAGTACCAAAAAAAAAAAAAAAAAAAAAAAAAAAATTCAGTTATTTTCAAGAACATATCAAGGGATATCCACATAAATATGTCATTTGAACAATTTACTTGAGCCATTCATATGACTACTATTTTCATGCTTTACATTTGGTGCAAAAAATACCCAACTGTTTACAAACTCTTGTATCAGATTTTTAATACACACCTGCCGATGGAACATACTGCTTTACATGTGTAATAAAGTTGTCTGCTGGAGTTCTCAAGGTCATAAAGTACAATCACACCATCTGAACCACCTGATAACATGCTGATAACAAAAAAATTCATATTAATTAATTATTTTATGTATTTCTTTTATTTAGGAGAACTGTATATCTCTGAAAATTGATCTGCAAATACTTAAATGTATTAAGATCATATTTTATTCTTACTAACTCAAGACTTCAATAAACTTAATTTTCTTAAAATGTGTAAAAGAATAAATACAAATTCAATTTTGTGATCATTTAACCTTTATCTTCAGGATTCCAAAAAAAAGAAAAGATGGTGGAAATAATATTGCAAAGGATATTTCTTACTAAAAAAGTAAAATATTATGAAGCTGTTTCAAATGCCCTAATTACAACTGTGCTAAATGAAAATGTATCAAAACAGACCATTTATTACCGATTCTAGCTATAGGAGCTTGGGTACATTAAATCACCTTTCTAAATCTTTCAACATTTGTAAAAACACTGGGAATTTCACCTAAATCACAAATTTGATGTAATGATAAAATACCAAATTTCTTTTCTTCTTCTTTTTTATTTGAAGGGGGATTACAGGAATTAAATCAAGGTTACTTTACCACTGAGCTATATCCTCATCCTTTTTGGAAACTACTATAAAAGAAATTTGGGTTCTGTGTGGTGATGCATGCCTGTAATTTCAGTGACTCAGGAGGGTGAGAAAGAAAAATAGCAAATCTGAGGCCAGCTTTAGTGATTTAGCAAGAGCCTGTTTCATAGTAAAAAAAAAACAAAAAGGAGTGGGGATATAGCTCAGTGGTAGTTTCCTTCCTTCTCTTATGAATGTAACTATGTAAGGCAGCCTGTTAATACAATTAAATAAAGACAGGCATGGTTCCTGTCCTCATGGAGTTACAATGTAGTAGGACAGGTAATAGACATCCTCACATAAATTATTAGTTGTAGGGGCTGGGGATGTGGCTCAAGCGGTAGCGTGCTCGCCTGCCATGCGTGCGACCCAGGTTCGATCCTCAGCACCACATACCAACAAAGATGTTGTGTCCGCCGAGAACCAAAAAATAAATATTAAAAAAAATTCTCTCTCTCTCTCCTCTCTCACTCTCTCTTTAAAAAAAAAAATTATTAGTTGTAAGACACTGGGGTAATAACTTATTTTTATTCTAGTTTGAGGATTCAAGGACTGTTTGCAGACCATCTGATTGTAATTTTCAACTGGCATCTAAAGAAGAAATTAGAGTTAGCCAGACAGGTATATGAAAATAACAATTCAGGCTCATTCAGAAACTGAAAGAAGGATGTGCCACTGGAGAAGTGTGGGAGAGTGGTATGAGATGAGAGGTCAATGGGGGCAGACAACTTGGAGCCTTATTTTTGAGAGTAAAAGAGTGACAAAATGTTTCTGGAAACATTTACCTCTTTCAATCAGGTTTATTAAATTGGTAGAACCTAAAAGCTATTCTATTCAAAAGCTTTGTAAAACAATTTCTAAAAAAGTAAAAGTAATATATAAACATATACACTAAAACCCTTTATATTGATTGAATTTAGCTTTTAAAATAACTTTTAAAATATTATTCTTGATACTTCATATACTTTAATCAGTTTCTTGCCTTTACCTGTCCTTAAAAATGTGCTACTTTCATATTTTTTGAATTAGGCACTTTTCAGTATAGTCTTATGTTTTCTTTTATAACACTGCCTGAAATCATCTTTGAATGTGAAATTGTGCTACCTTTAATTAACTTTCCTGAGGCTTAATATTTTCAATTTTGATAATAATAATAGGTAGAATATGGTAAATTCAGAGAAAATTCTGCAAAATGGAGAATATTCTTGATTCTTCTTTTATATACTGAAATATCTCTTTTTACATCTTTTCATGTACCTTTTTTTTTCTTTCCCAGTACTGGAGATTGAACCCAAGGGTACTCCACTACTGAGTACATCCCCAGCCCTTCTAATTTTTTATTTTGAGACAGGGTCTTACTAAGTTGTTCAGGCTGCTTAAACTTGCAAACCTCCTGCCTCTACAAATGTGTGTGGCATTAAAAAAAAAAAAAAAAACAAGATAAAACTCTCTTCAAGGGAGTTCTCTATTTTATGCCTCGTTGGAAGCAAATCTAAATATTGCAAAATCTTAGACATTCCGAATTTTATCTATTATTATTCAAAATATAAATTTACCCAACTGAAACAGGAGACTACAAAAGACTATTCTCAAACTTCCAAAAAGTAAAGATCTTTCCCAATCACAAGTCTATCCTTTTTTCTCCTTTCCAAAGTAACTCATTATGATGAATTCTAGTACTTGTTGCTTTTTTTTCTGCATATCATCACTCAAGAGTATACCCATTAATACTAGTTTTACTTTTTTAAAAAAAATTAAATATTTACCTTTAATATGGGTCTCTAATTCACCTTCCCTCCCATCTATTTTTGCCCTTTCTTGCAATTTATTGAATAAACCAAATCAGTTACCTGCAATTTCTAGCCTAAATTTTGATGACCGAATTTAGGTACGAATTGAAAATGATCTTTATCTGTCACTGATCTTTGTTGTGATATGATATTAGATACCAAACCAATACCTAAATCCACAAATTTATATGCTTACATAAAGTCTTGCTATTCATCAATATTATCAATCATTATGTTGCTGCCCCACTAGTCATTCTGGTTGTCTGATTTCATCTCTGACAGATTCCTAAAGAAGTGCTTTGTCCTTATTAATAATGTCTTTTCGTACTTGTAAATCAGTTTTGCTAGATTAAAAACTTCTTAAGCATCTTAAGATAAAAATAACTTGTTATTTTAGCATAAAATTCTAAGTCAAAGTCCAGTTATATCTTTCCCCCTTATATATACCCTTATATATAGTTTCATATCTTATTTATAAGTAAAAAAAARTTTTCTTGAATTTTAGGGTTTTTAAAAATTTGTTCTTATATAAGACAGACTGTATTTTGACATATGTTTATAGAGTATAATTTCCCATTCTTCTAGTTGTACATGATGTGGAATTACATTGGCCATGTATTCATATAGTAATGTCCAATTCATTCTATCTTTCCAATTCCCATTCCCCCTCCTTTCCCCTTCATGTATTCCAAAATACTTATATTCTTCCCTACCCCCACCCCGCTTATTGTCAGTTAGCATCCATATATCAGAGAGAAAATTCAGTTTTTGTATTTTGGGGGTATTAGCTTACTTGAATTTTAGTTTTAATATTTATTCTATTCTCTTGATTTTGTTTTCTTCTCTGGGAACTTATATGTATGCTGGATCTTCTTGGCCTGCATTCTCATATGAAGATACCTTTTAAATCCTTTTCCTTATTTCATTTCTTTTTAAATTTTTTCTCCTTTCCTCCTTTATTTCATGTATTCATTTGCTTGTGTTCCAATGCTTTCGTCTTCATTTTTGAAATTCTTTTATTTCTAATTTTTCTTCAGTTTGATCATCTCATTTCTGTTTTTTTAATTGATGTAATTCTCTCATAGATTATAGATTTTAAAATGACTTTTGGTCAGCTTTAAAATATTTACTTATTATTATGGTCTGTGTTATGACAATACTTTTCGGGCATTGTCAGTTACGGCACTACTCTACTTATTCTCTTTGCTCTTAAATAATTTTGCACGAAACTTGATTTTAATGCTATTCTTTTGTTCATTTTATAAAATTAATTTTCTTAAGCCTTTAGAATGGAAGTTTGGTTTAGAATAATGTTTAAATTTTGTAACATCCTCTTTTACCCCCTCCCCTTTGGTAAGATGTTAAAAAATGGGAGGTTATTTTCAGAGCCTTCTTGGTTCTGTTCACTTAAAAATTTTATTTGGATCATCATTTCCCTTGATTTCTATTGTCCCTGTACTGTTCAATTTGGATTCTATTCGAAGAAACTTCTCAGTGTAGGGTTCTGTTCTGGAGAGTTCTGTTTTTTGACCTGTTAGCTCTTTGGAGCAATTATAAAGCCCAGACTGCTCTACCTCCTTCTGGTCTTACTATGGATCCCCTGAATTTACGCACAATTTACATACAAATGAAGTATGCCATGCTCTCCCAGATTCAGCACTGTAACTGAATTGGCTTGCTAAGCTTTCAACCTACCCACTAGTTAATTTGGACTTATAACATGCCCCATTATTTTTTACTGACCCCCAACCCAGCCATGGCATAAATGCTGACACCACACAGTCTTGTATAGTTACCAGTGGTTTTTCCCCCACATATTCACATTTTGGGATTTATAGGGATACTTCATGACCAGGTTTTGATACAAATATTATAAATGTTTTTTGGCATTTTATCACTGAATATGTCAATTAAAAGATTATCTGATTTTGAACAAAATACAAATACAGAGCAGTGCTACTTAATATGCTCTCATAAAACAAATATATAGCTTTCTTCACTGAGAAGGTCTTGCTAAAAAAAGAAAAACAAACAAATAACAATAAAACTTATCTCTTTTAAACTGTTTAGTGATGTAGGAAACTTACATTCTGGTATAAGCTCCTTGTGTCTTGTTGTAAACCAGTTATGAATAGATGATGAACGAGCAGCAGGCACTGATTTATAGACTTGTTTAAAAATAATTCAACAATTTGTAGAATAATTAGGTTTAAAAGTAGTTCCTCAAAGGTTCAAAGAGTTCTCAAATCTAATTGATTATGTGCATCATGGCAAGACAAAAAATTGTGTCATGCTTAACTTTAAAACTATTTGATGTTATTAACTTTATTAGAAAACACTGAGTTGTGAGGGGCAAGGGGGAGGGAAAAAAAAGGGGAGAGAATAGAACAACAGCAGAGGAGGTAGAGAGGGAAGATGGGAGGGGGGGGGATAGTAGGGGATAGGAATGGTAGCAGAATACAACAGTCACTAATATGCCATTATGTAAAAATATGAGTGTGTAACCGATGTGATTCTGCAATTTGTATTTGGGGTAAAAATGGGAGTTCAAAACCCAATTGAGTCAAATGTATGAAAGATGATATATCATGAGCTCTGTAATGTTTTGATCAATAAAAAAAGAGACACTTAAGGCATAAAAAAAATAAAATAAAAATAAAAAAAATAAAAAAATAAAATGTTGAAAAAAAAAAAGAAACACTGAGTGATTCACTTACTCTAATGGCATATATGAAGAAAAAAAAAAAAAAAAACAACTAGAGAGTTACCACAATGTGTGTCACAACTAATTCCAAAAATATTTCTGCTGTATGAAGCAGAAATATTTCAACTTTGTGAAACTTAGTTTTTAACTATGTCATTGCAAGTGTATCATGTATCATCAATATAAAACAATTATTTTTAAAGTTGAACTTAACTGAATTTAAATGGCTTTTATGTCAGTTGTTTTACTTTTGTTAGAATGGCGTCTGGAAGTTTTCCTTTGATTTTATTATTTGGATGAAAATACTAAACCATTACCATTAAGTGACTTTATAATTGAAGTATTTGATGGCACTAACATTATTTACTTAACTGTTAGATGAATATAATCAATTTAGAAGAATTTAGAAGGTATAAAATAAAATTTAAGCTTTTGACTGATTGTCAGTCCTAGCACAAATGGTGAAACCATATAGTCTTATAGTTATCAGTGTTTGTTCCCACATATTCATATTTTGGGTTTATGGGGATACTTCATGAACAGGTTTTGATATAAACGCTATATAATGGAGTAATATGCAAATGTAAGAGTAATATGCAAATATATCTTCTGCAGCTGAAGCTGTTAAAATGTAATTTTTGATTTTTTTTTTTGGGGGGGGGTACCAGGAATTGAACTCAGGGGCACTCCACTACTGAGCCAGATCCCCAGTCCTATTTTGTATTTTATTTAGAGACAGGGTCTCACTGAGTGCTAAGTGCCTCGCATTGCTAAGGCTGGCTTTAAACTTGTGATCCTCCTGTCTCAGCCTCCTGAGCCACTGGGATTACAGGTATGTGCCACTGCACCCAACAAAATGTAATTTTTGGATAGTCTTTTTAAATAGCACCTTAAAATATTTATTGGTATTTTATGGTTTTCAGTGATTATCCCTACAGTGCTCATAGTGGATGATAAATATTAACAGATATTGGACAAGTTATATATACATTCATTGTCTTAAGAAAAATCCTTTTCGGGGATAGGGCTGTGGCTCAGTGGCACAGCACTTGCCTGGCATGTGTGAGGCACTGAGTTCGATTCTCAGCACCACATATAAATAAATAAAAAATAAAGGTACATCAACAACTAAAAAATATTTCAGAAAAAAAATCCTTTTTATTTATCTTTTGCTACCAAAAGTATTTAAGACAAAATGCAAATCTCAGTAAACAATGAAACAAACAGTTATAGATTTTTATTATATAATAAAGGGGAACAACACTGTAGCAAGTCTTCAAACTTTTCTCTAAGTTCTATGAAAAGATTCCTTAGCCTGTATTTCCCAACCATATTTCATGTACATATAATCTAGAATTTCTCATATTTCCCACTGCCAACTGGCTTCATACACTTCATAGGTCATATAAATAATCATGATGCCAAATGGCTGGCTGGAGTAATAGTAATGAATATTTATTCTTTCCACTAGAACCCCAAACCAAAAGAAATCAGCTATCCCTTGCTTCCCATGTCTGTATACATTTTATAAGTTAGTGTCACATAGCTGTCCTTGAATAGGAAGTGTTATAGTGAGCCTGAAAGAACCAGGAAAAAGAAAACAATTATTGCTGATTATGTTTTAAATTTAACCACATGTAAAAGTGAGAATCCTGTTCCTTGCATGTGTTTCTCATGTACTATGAAGTGAAACCATGGCAGAAGCTGGAAGAAAAAAAACAGAAGTTTATGAAACCTATCCCGAATTATTTTAATATAAATAATAATACTTCATTATACAATAAAAATTATGGGGCAAATATTAAACATAACAAACTATTTTTATTTACTTTTATATATGGTCTAATTATATACCACAGGAAGTATTTTAGCCTCTTTTTTTTTCCTTCTTTTTTGGTGCTGGAGATTGAATTTTAGGTTTCTGCATTTTCTACCAATGACCTATACTCCCAACTCCTGAATTTTTGTATAAGAGAAAGATTGTGTCATGGTAAGTTGTCAGGAGAATATGCTCAGATTTGGATTTTTCAAAGGACTTCAGCTATTATATGGTGATGTATTGAAAAGAATAAAAGTATATGTGATACTGCTTTTGATTATATATTACCTCAATTGATCCACACAAGAAACTTGTTCGATAAGTATTATTGTTTCCATTGCATAGCTAAGGCAAATGAGTTTAGGTAAACTGCTCAAGGTCACAAAGATTATAAGTGATAAAGCCAGGAGAAATTCAAACATCCTGTTTGTTCAAACTTAATTCTCCAAAATACAGTTTTACTGTGTTTTAAAACAATATCTAAAGACACATTCCAGCACTTAAAAGCCCCCTGAATCCAAAGAAGTTCAATGGTTGTTGATTTAAGATAACTTAGAAATGTCTATTTGGCAACACTTTACCTGTATTTATTTGAAATTTAATAATGCCATTGAAAAAATGTTACAATTTAGAATTTTTACTTATTTTTAGGAAGCTTCTTCATATTAATCTGCAAAAGCAAGATTTTACTGCATCTTATTTAGAAAAGTGAAATGTACATATAATCAACTTACTATCTCCCTTCAACAGGTTCAATGTCAAGGGTGTTAACTCCACTTCCATGGATTCTTTCAATATCTCTGTCTTTGTTTAACTCCAGTCCCAAAACCCTTTAAAAATTAGGAGAAAAAAGAAAGATGAAAATTAACAATAAGAAAGTAATTACACATAAACAAATTCCTTATTTCACCAAGGTGATATAGAATACAAAAATCATAGCTAATGCTTAAATCTATCATATCACATACTTATATTAGAGATCTAAGACACTGTATAAAATTTTAAAGTATCAATAATTACAAGTTTTTTCACTTGAATCATCATCCCAAACTTTAACCAATTTATTTAAAGTTTTTTTAAAAAAAGAATGAAACAACTTTTCATGAACAAAAAAATTCTGAAAACTTAAGACTTTACTGAGGACATCTAGTGAATAAAAGCTTAAATTACAGGATTAAAAAAATTCTCTAAGCGTTTCTTATAGAAGAAAAACAAAACAAATGTGTTAAATTCAACAATTAAGCTTTTTAAAATAAAGTCAATTTTCCCTGTTTATCAGAGGTTTGATCCCAAGAGGGTGGGACCAAAACCTATTGCTTTTGTACCTGTCTTTTCACTTGAGCCAAACCTTGAACCATAGAGCAGAAGTTATGTGGTATAGTCCAAAGTTTCTAGCTGGAAGACAAAACAAGACAGTACCAGAGTGGTGGAAAACATCAATCAGCAAAACCACAGAGAGGAAGGAACCCAGGAAATAAAACTGTCAGTTACCTCCTGGACTCATGCCTAAATGGAACATGCATGGTTAAATCCATGAATAGCATATGAATAGCATATTCTGAATAGCATATGAAAGATTTTGGAATCTCAACTAACTAGCATTCAGGTCACAGACTGACCACTGAGTGGCACACAGATCTGAAAAGGCTTTGAAAACTGAACTGACACTGAATTTCATCTTGCTAGTTGCCTGTTAAAACAAAAATATCAACATTCATCATAAGATTGAAACAAGACTCAGAATCTCATAACAATATTCAAAATGTCCAGGATGCAATGCAAAATTGCACACGAAGCACAATGAAAATTTAAACTTGCATGGGAAGACAATAGAAGACAAAGGAGATGATATGATCTTGGGAAATTATCTTCTTTAAGTCAGTCACAACAAAATGCATACATGACAGATTGTAAACACACTTGAAGCAAATGTTAAAATAAAAAGTTTCAGCAAATATACAATATACAAGAACCAAATGGAAATCTTAAAACTTCTCCATTTAAAATTATTTCAATTTAATGGACTCAATAGTAAATGAAGCTGACAGAGGAAAGAGTCAGTGAAGATAGATGAACTGAAATTATACCATCCCTAACAACACAGGGGGGAAAATAGTGGGAGGGTAGGGAAGAACAGAACCTCAGGAACCAATGAAACAATTTAGAAGGACTCATGTTTATGTCACTGGAATTCCAAAAATAGGAGAAAATATACTGAAAAAAGAAAMAAAATGTTTGAAAATATACAACTTGCCAGAGAAAAATCTACAAATTTAAGAAACACAATAAATCTTATGATAAACCCAAAGAAATCAATACCCAACACATTATAATCGGACTTATAAAAGCTAAAGACAAGCTCTTTAAAGCAATCAGATAAAAATGACAAATTTTCTAGAGAAAAAAAGTGATTTGAATGACTGCAGATTTCTTTTCAGAAACCATGAAGCTACTAAATCTACTCTAAAAAAATGATCAGCTACAATCTTCAGATAGAAAAGAAACGGTATAAGAAGGAAACTTGGGACATTAGCAATGAAGGAACAACAGAAATGTTAAATATCTAGGTTAATAGACTGATGTTTTTCTTACAATATTTGATGGTTAAAACAAAAATTATAACATTGTCTGATGTGGTTTATTATATCTGTAAATGTGATATATAACACAACAAAGACAGTGGTGACAGATAAAGGGTAACAAAGTTTCTATATGCCAAAGAAAGCAGTGAAAGGATAAGTAGACAATGAAAAGTATGTATTTTATAATTCCTAAAGCACCCACAAAACTTTACATATAAATGAAGAAATATAGTAAAAAATCACAAGATAAATTAAAATGCAATACTAAATAATGTTCAAACAACCCCCTAAGAAGGCAGGGGCGGGGGTAAAGATGTAGAGCAATGAGTCATGCCTGCCAGTGAGAATATAAACTGTTTTTGGAAAACTTTTTAAGTTTCTTAAAAAGTGTTAAAATATTCTTATTTCACTACTAGTATTAGCCCATGAAAAATGAAAGTGTATGTCCACACAAAGACTGGTACAAGAATTTTTATATCAGCTTTAAATGTAATAGTTAAAACCTGGAAACAATTCTAGTGTCCATCAACAAGCGAATGGAGAAAACAAATTATGTTATAAAAAGTAATTGATAAATGCAACACATGGAGAAATTTCAAAGTAATTATGCTAAGTGGAAGAGGCCATYCAAAAAATGTTCCATTTATACAACATTCTGAATATCCAAATTAATCTACAAATTAGTGATTTCTTAAGTAGGAAGAGGATGGAGATGAGGAAGTAGGGAGGAATTAACAAAGCATCCCAACAAAATTTTTAGGCTTAAGGAGTTTTGTCTGTCTCTCCCCCTTCTTCCCCCCACAGTAGTGGGGATTGAACCCAAGGGGGCTCTACCACTGAACTACAACCCCAGACCTTTTTATTTTTTAAGTTGCCGAGGCTGGTCTCATATTTGTGACCCTTCTGACTCAGCCTTCTGAGTCACTGGGATTACAGGTGTGTGTCATTGTGCACAGCATGTTTATTCTCTTGACTATGGTGATGATTTCAAAAGTATATACATGTCAAAACTCATATTGTACACAATAATTTATATTCATTTGTACAAGTGTATGTCAATTGTACCTCAATAAAGTTGTAAATATTTCTAAAGGGTGTTAATTATGAACACTGTATGCCCCTAACAACCAGAGAAAGTGATGTGTAGGAAACAAAAAGAAAAAGAAAAAAACTTCACATTAAAGGAATTCTCAGAGCTATTTCACAATAAAGATGTAAAAGATAAAATGCTGGAATCTGATCCAAATGAAAAAGATCCTCACATCAAATGGTTAACTTTTAAAATGAGAAAAGGCAAAATTATTAATCCAAAAAAAGGCCAAGCAATATTCAAACAACTCAATACACACCTTTTTAATAAGATAATTTTTAATAAGGTAATTACTCAATAAATATTCTCTTTAACAAATAATTTTGATTCTAACACTGTTTTACATTACAATGTGCTAAGTTATTAGCTTTACTATTTTCATTTTCCTACACATTTGTAACCATAAATGTAATAAAATTTTTAGTATTTTGGCAAAAAAATTAAAGATCACAAAATTGCAATTTTCCTCACTGATTAAGAACATTTTGCAGAGGTAAGGCTGCACAGCCAGTTTTACAGACTTTCACTACTGTGCAAAGAGAGCACTACCTGCATATATGTCAACTGTTTGAAATAGATTTAATGTGCTGAGTATAATATTTCTTTTTTTCAAAATATACCCATGTTATACATATTCCATGATTTTTAGGTTTGGATAAAATTTATTCAATTTATTTTAGTGGAATGAAAATCTAAGACATACGCAAAGAGGTGAATGTAGAATCTTTCTCAAGCAATGATTCTAATCCTAGCTATACTTTAGAATAATCTAGGTAGCTTTAAAAAATTCTGCTGTCTTAGGACAACTTAATCAGAATTTCTGGATATGGAACGCTGGCATGAACATGCTTTGCAACCACCTCAGGTGACTGTAATATTCTGAAAAAGTTTTATTGGCTCCCATCATTTGTAACATATCATTCCTTTTTGAATAGCATTTTGTTTTAAGTCATTTGTTTGGATTGAGTATTTCATAAATGGTTCATTTAGTTTTTTTAAGAAAAGGAACTCTTTTTGCATTAATATTTCACACTAAAATGAAATAATAATAATAATAAGGAGAAGAAGAAGAAGAAGAAGAAGAAGAAGAAGAGGAGGAGGAGGAGGAGGAGGAGGAGGAGGAGGAGGAGGAGGAGGAGGAGGAGGAGGAGGAAGTAGTAGTAGTAGTAGTAGTAAGGGCTGGGATTGTGGCTCAGTGGCAGGGCGCTTGCCTCACAAGTATGAGCCACTGGATTCAGCACCACATAAAAACATGTAAATAAAATAAAGATATTGTGTCCATCTACAACTAAAAAATTATTTTAAAAAAGGAATAAGTGAAACTGACATTAATGGGATTAGCAACAAATACTGAGTTTTGATAAGTACACAAAGCAGTTGATAGAAGAGCTGTGAATGGCATCACAGGGTTTTGGGCAGAAATGGTTAAATTATGATTTGGGAATCATATTTTCAGAGAAATGAAATCCATTTACAGATAAGTTAATCTAGTGATCTGGTTAAGAGACTCCTCACTGTTTTGAACTTTTAGTACTTTCAATGAAATGAGAGGTTTAGGTCACAGAATTATGACAAAGACTTATACTTAGTTGCTTTTTTTAGATCAAGAACTTTTTTAGAATTAAAAGACTGACAAACTCAGCTTTTCAGTGGCTCACATATTTAAATTATTTCTGACATTGTAATATCTCTAAACATTATTAAATTTAACTATAGGAAAAAAGAAGTAATGCTGTTTTTTTTTTAAGACTAAAGCTATTTTCACTGAAATTAAAGATGAGGCAATAGCCAAATTCACTCACTTGACAACATTTACTTCAGTGATTATAATAGAAGAATTGCAGAACTTAGTATAAACAAACTGCTTTATCAGAGGAGATTGACACATTTTGCAATCACCTGAGGTGGTTGTAAAGCATGTTCATGCCAATGTTCCATATCTAGAGATTGTGACTTAAGTTGTCCTAAGATGGCATTTTTTAAATTTAAATTTTAAATACATTTTGGTATAAATTTGGCTTGCATTCTTGCAGTCATTGAAATAAAAAACCTCTGGATATTTCTATGTTATATAACCCATTACAGTAGATGACTATGTTGAAAAAAAAATATTACGGTCATCTCTGCGCTAAATGGGATTAGGGAGAGGAAGTCAACAGGAGACATAACTTCAATCATGTTTAGAGCTAACCAAAATGTGCCTCAAACAAACAAACAAACAAGAAAGATTTGCAGGGCCCAGTGGTGCACTCCTATAATTCCAGTGGCTCAGGATTGGGAGAAAGGAGGAGCTGGAGTTCAAAGTCAGCCTCAGCAATGGCAAGGCGCTAAGCAACTCAGTGAGACCCTGTCTCTAAATAAAATACAAAATGTGGCTGGGGATTTGGCTCAGTTGTCGAGTGCCCCTGAGATCAATCCCCAATACCAAAAAAACAAAACAACAACAAAAAAACTTATCTAGATAAAATTACATTCAATATTTTGAAACATTTACCAAACATGTAATCCTAAAATGTAAAGATTAAACAACGTTTTAGTGCATAAAATATTATGGAATTGTTTGTAGAAAATAGCTAAATGACCACCTATGATTATCTATTAAAATAATTTATTATTTTGTCTGTTTCTGAGTTGTGGCAGAAAGCCTAGAAATGACCTTCCAAAGTCTCTAATTCTTGGTATTCATGACCTTAGGTAATTTTCTCTCCTTAAATGTGAGCAAGACCTAGTGACTCACTTCTGATGACTAGAATATGACCAAATGAGATCACTTATGAGATTGGATTATAAAAACAGTCTGGATTCCTTCTTGCTTTCTTGTTTGCTTTGATAGGAGCCAGTTGTCATGCTGGGATCTACTCTACGGAGAGAACCATGTGGCAAGGAATTGAATAAGTCTGGGCCAATGTCAATGAAGAACCAAATCCTATCAATAGCTACTTTAGTGCACTTGGAAGCAGATCTTTACCTAGTCCAGTTGAGAAATGACTACAGCCCCACTCAATATTTTGAATATAGTCTTCTAAGAAACACTGAGCCAGAGAGAGAACCCAGTTAAAATACGTTAAGATTCGTGACATCTTTAGCCTGAGAGATAACAAATCTTTCAGTTATTTAAGTTTGGGATACTTTGTTACCCAGGTGTTGATAACTAATGCATAGTTGAGTTCTTCCTTTGATATATTAGAATGAATCATACACAGTTTGTCAATATTAATTGCCTATTGATTTAAATTTGAGAAAGTCATTAATGTTACCAATACCCATTTGCTTTTTTCTCTTATTTTTATTCCTACCATTCCTCTGAAACTACTTTTCCCAAGGTAATTTGTATTTAGTCTATCAGTTAAATGCAACATGTGCTTTTAATTCCTCATATTTATTGAGTGTATGTCACTCACAAAATACTTATTAAACTTCTATCATGGGCCAAACCCTTTTTGAGGCCTAGAATACAGGTCCTTTGTTCTTTGGGGGATTAAGAAGACAATGATATAGTAGAAAAAATATATAATACAATTTCAGTAGGAATAAATTGAACAAAGAAAGATAAAGTTGAGTAATATGAAAGGAAGTACTGAGTGCAAAGAGGGCAGGCAGTATTTGACACATTTGATGGCTCCGTCCTTAAACACTGTGTTCCCTCAGTGAGATTTTAACTCTACCTCACTGGCTACTCGTTGAAAGTTCATCTGCATTCTCTTCTTCTGTCCAATCTTTTTGTCTCCTGGGGCTGGGGATCAAACCCCAAGCTTTGCTCATAGGAGGCAAGTACTCTTCCACCGAGCTACTTCCCAGCACCTTCTGTCTAACCTTAAATGCTTATGTTTCTTAGATTTTTGCCATTTGTGGAGAGCAGTGATTTAAATAATGGTCTTTCTGACTCTCTGGTGGCTGCATTTGTGCTGGGAACTGCCTGTGCAAAAGTGCAGGTCAAGATGGCCTAGCTGTATGGTGATTGTAGCCCAAGGAAACTCTGCAAAAGTTCAATTATCAGTGGGAACCTTGAGCTCAGGCACCAGATCCCAGGGAGAGAAAATCCCAAGCAAGATGACCCTAATTTCTCACCAGTCCTGTGTCCTTCCAATTGCCTGCTTTGCTGAAATTTTCCCACAAATAACCTTTTGATGAAACCTACATAATAAACGTGCTGAACTAACTCTGGGTCAGTCAAACTCTATCAGACTGCCCACCTGAGCCAACCTTTTTCTATGTGTGTCTGTTTGTTTTTTCTTCATCCCCCATCACCCCTCATCTAGTTTCTCAATTAATGGCTGCGGTTGAGGGCAAGCTTAATAATGCCTGGCTGATCTTATCTCTTTGTGACTTCCTGTACCTTAAAGAAATCTAAATTTCCCTTGAKCATGTAACTCAAATACGCAACTATGTCCTTCACTCTCTGAGTGAATATATTCATGTTCCTCAAAATCATGTGGGCAAAACTAAAAGTAAAACTTGCTTCCCCTTTGGAACATCTTGTCTCAGAGGATGTCACCAACATCCAACTTCCTACCCAAGGGATATATCTGGGAATCATTATTGACTGTTCCGTTTTCATCATTCACTTATCCACATATTTTCCATGGCTTATCTCGGGCATTTTTCAAACTTCTTCATTTTCTTCATCCCATTTGCCTCCTCCCTGCCCCAGGTTTCCATCAGTTCTTTTCTGGACAAGGGCAATATTCACCTAAATTGACTCCTACTCTTGCTCTCAACTTCAACCCATTCTTCAAGGAAAAGTCAAAACCGAATATCTGTGACTTTACTCTCATCTTCATACTTTGACGCAAGCACACAAGGCTCTTCCCCATCGAGCTTCTGCCAATTACTCCAAGTACATCTCTTGTCCATGGCCCCCGACCTCGTCTCTAGGATTCAGCCACTGAGGCAAATTTTAATTGGTCGGTTAGAGGAAAAGGTAAGATTTTCTTTACCTCCGTGTGGACTCCGTTCTCTGGAAGCGCATAGGGTCTTCCAAACCCGCTTGTCGCGCGGACAAAAAGCCCAGCATCGCGTTTCCTCACCTCAGCTGGCACACTGGACGCCGCCATGACAGGGCTCGGAGGAGGAGCCGCAATAGCAGAGCTTCCCATTGGCCAAGTTGTGATACCACCTGACCAATGGTGAGTGCCGTTACTCGGAGGGCTCACGGAAGGAGGATGGCTGGTCTCTTCGGACGCGGTGGGCGGGGTCAGCGGCTGGAGCGTCACTCCCAGCGTCCCCGCAGAGCRTTGGTTCCAGCCTGGAGCTTAGTGGCAGGCATGAGTTGGTCTCTGGGTTTGTTTCGCGCCTTGTGGAGAGCGCTGTCTAAGGAGGTGAAGGAACACGTGGGCACAGACCACCTCGGAAACAAGTACTACTTCATCCCGGAGTACAAGAACTGGAGAGGTGAGACGAGAGAGAGGCCAGCATTTGCCTGCTCGGTGAATGAGGGAAAGTGAGAGTGTCTTGTTAACTGCCGGGGGACACTCAGTGTCTCACCGAGGGTAAATCCCGAGTTGGGCCTCCCCGCCATCTCTTTCCCTAGGGTGTCGTAGCCCCACGGTATCTGACCCTGGGTTGTGCGCCGCGCCCAGGGCTTGTGAACTCGCGGTCCCTGCCCTGCAGCACCTTCCCAGCTGAGCCCCTGCGGCCGGCGCGTGCACCGCGTACGCTTCTGAACCCCTGCGGAGGGCTTAGTTCTGGCCCTTGGGAGACATAGACTGGGATTCTAGAGCCCGAGTCTTTTTCTTGAGAAGCGGGTTGTGGCTTTCCCTGAGCCTGTGCTTGGATTGAGACAAGGGCGGAATGGTGTGTAATTGAAGAGGGTGTCTTCAGCGGCAGGGTTTTCCTCTTTCTCACCGTTTGACTTTCTCTGCACCTTGGCTCTGCCGCTGGCCCCGTGGTCAGTGTCTTCACAACGAAAATCTGTCAGAAGTAGATCAGTGCACTCTGTTCTCTTCCAGTCATTCAAGGGCCCCTGTTCCCTTTCCCGGAAATTTGCGTCCTAAAACCTCAGTTTAAGAAGCCTGCCTCTAAGAGTGTCCTTTCTGTGCAGGATTCATGCCAAGTAGTGAATCAAGTGGTCTGGGGTGTTAGGAAGCGTCCCTTTCCGGTGAAATCACACCTTATATCAGTCCTCAAAACCTCTTATGTGTTCTRTCACCTCGATGCTTAAGATCTCAGGTTTTGGGTGAAAGAAGCTGGATTAAAATCTCCCCTCTGACKCCTAATGACTTAGGGATCACAGGCAAAATAGTTGTCTTCCCACCTCTCAGTATTCCTGTTTGAAAGTTAAATAGTAACAACAGTAATAATGAAAAGCACAAAGACCTTTTCAAAATTGTGTTTCACTTATTTCCCGCACACATTAATTGTATTTTACGATTTTCATTCAAATTTGTTTTGCCTAGCCTTCTCCTGTGACTTAATATCTTAGACTTGTTTTCCTAATGAGCTTTTTTAAACTGTCAGGGCAAAAAATATGATGCTTTCAGCTTCCTGTCCCCAGACAACCATTGATCTAATTTCTAAAACTATAGTTTGCATTTTCTAGAATTTTATGTAAATGGAAGTATACAGCATGTTTTATTTTTTACCCTCGGTTTTTCACTCAGCATATTGATTTTGAGATTCATCCACGTGTTGGTATTTACCAAAAGCTTATCCCTTTTATTGCTAATATTCCACTGTATGGCTATGCCATAATTTGTTCATAATTTGTTATGAACAGATGAATACCTGTTAATAGATGTTTGGATTGTTTACAGTTTGGGGCTATTAGAAATAAATTATGAACGTCCATAAATGTCTATTAATAGACATATGCTTTAATTTCTCTTGATTAAATATCTTGAAGTGGAATGGCAGGTAAACTTATAGATGTATGTTAAAAAGTGATGGTACCATTTTGCATCGCCACCAGAATGTACYAGAGTTGCAGTTTTTCCACATCAACACTAGCTATGGTTACTAATTTTAGTCATTCTAGTTGGTTCATAGTAATATCTCATTTTTTTCTAGTGTTCTTTTTGCTATTTAAAATTTTTTACTTTCCAATTAAATACAGTGAAATTGACTTTTTAAATTGGTGTGCAGTTCTATATACTTGAACACAATGAAATTTTAACCACACAATGGAATATTATTCAGCAATTAAAAGAAATGAGCTATTATGCTACAAAAAGACATGGAGAAAAACATTGCTAAATATTACTAAATGCATGCTACTAAGTGAAAAAAATCAATCTAAAAAGTTTATGTGCTGTAAGGTAATATAAAGGTTATGTACTGTAAGATTAATGTAAGGGGATCACAGTCAGCATACAGAACTCCTTTCTTTCCCTCAGTTACTCCTTCATGCTAATATTCTGTTATGATTTTTTTCCCCATTCCAAACTATGGCAAACACCACAGTTCTCTGTCATTTTGATTTTTTCTTAGTTCTCTGTCATTTTGATTTTTTCTTTTTGAAAATGTTGCACATATAGACTCATAACCTGTTGTAACCTTTTGAAACTGGTTTCTTCCATACAATGTAATGCCTTTGAGATTCATTGCATGTATCTGTAGTTTGTTCCTTTTTATGTTGACTAGTGTTCCTTGTTATGAATGTACCACAGTTTGTACATTTACCTGTTGAAAGATGTTTGGGCTACTTCTAGGTTTGGGTACTTAAGAGTAGAACTGCTGGATAGGAAAGGCAGCAGAATACAACAGACACTAGTATGGCAATATGTAAATCAATGGAAGTGTAACTGATGTGATTCTGCAATCTGTATACGGGGTAAAAATGGGAGTTCATAACCCACTTGAATCAAAGTGTGAAATATGATATATCAAGAACTATGTAATGTTTTKAACAACCAACAATAAAAATAAATAAATAAATAAATAATAGAACATTGGGGCTGGGAAAAAAAAGAGTAGAACTGCAAGAAACATTCATATGTGAGTTTTATATGAACATAAGTTTTCATTTCCTATGAGTATATACCCCAGTAGTGTGAGTGCTAGATCGTAGCAACTTCAGCTTGCTCTTTAAAATGTGAATAATAATATTTACCTAGCATCACAAGATATTTTTGTTACTCACAAGAAACAAGAAAGAACATTAAGAGAATTAAATATAATGTCAAAATCCATTTGAGTTAATTTTTGGAGGACTTTTACTTGGTGGTTCTTTGATTTCTTTTTCATATAACTTGTATTTGTTAGTGTAGACATTATGCAAATATTTTGTTACATTTATTGTGAAGTGTATTATATTGTGTGGTTACTATAAATGTGCTTCTAAAAGTAAATTTCCGGTTTCTTATTGCTTGTATGTAGAAATACAATTAATTTTTTTAATGTTAATCAGCCATATTGCAGTGTATTTTATGTTCTGCCTAGCCTTTTGCAGATTTGGGCATTATGTCAACTGCTGTTAGAGACAGTTCTGGTTTTTCCTTTTCCAACTTGTTTGCCTTCTATTTCCTTTCCCTTCCTGGTTGCACTGGATTGGACCTTCAGTATAATATTGAATAAAAGTGGTAAGAGTAAATATTTTTGCCTTATTTCCCATCTTAGGAAGAAAGCACTTTTGGTTTTTTATTATTAAGTATAAAGTTACTTCTAATTTTTTTCAGATGCCTGTTCTAAGRTTAACAAAGGTCCTTACTATTTGTAGTTTGCTGAGAGGTTTCTTTTTTTTTTCTTCATGAATGAAGCTTGAAATTTATCCARTGCTCATTTGCTTTTTTTTGTATCTATTAAGATAATAATAATTTATACAATATAATATGAATTATTTTTAAAAGTCAATATAATATGAATTATATTGACTTTTAAAAATTAATTGACTTTATTTTTTAGAGCAGTTTCAGAATAATTGATTGAAACTACTCAGATACTCCCATTCCTCTTCTTCAGCAGTTTCTCCTTGTATGGATATCTTGCTTTAGTATTTCCTCCCACTTCCCTCCCTCCCTTTCACTTAACTCCCTAGTGACCTTTTCACTGTCTTTTCACTGTCTCTCTGGTTTGCCTTTTCCAGGATGTTATATAGTTTGAGTCACACAGCACATAACCTTTTTAGATTGGATTTTTTTCACTTAGTAGTATGCATATAGTAATACTTAGTAGTGTTTTTCTTCATGTYTTTTTGTATCATAATAGCTCATTTGTTTTTATTGCTGAATAATATTCCATTGTGTGGTGAAGCCATTGTTTGTGTATTAATTTACTTATTGAAGGATATCTTGCTTGCTTCCAATTTTTGGCAGTTATGAATAAAGCTATTAAAAATCATGTACAGGTTTTTTGTTGTTGTTGTTGTTTTTTTTTTTTTTTTTTTTGCCTGAACCTAAGGTTTGAACTCACTCATTTGACATTGTTGAATATTTTGAATGTTACATTTGTGGAATAAACTCCATTTGGTCATAATGTATTATCTTTTTTTGTTATTATTGCATTTGGTGTCCTGACACTTTGTTGAAGAATTCTGAGTTTTTTATCCTTGAGGATCTTGATGTCTTCTTGTAATGTCTTTTTCTGGATTTGTTATTAGGGTTATGCTGGTCTCATAGAGTGAGTTGGATTGTGTTCYCTTCTCTTGAATTTTCTGGTAGAGTTTGGGAGAATTTGTATTGTTTCTTAATTGGCATAAATCACCTAAGAAGCCATTATGTCTTAGATGGCTTTTTTTGTTTGAAGCTTTTAAACTACAAATTCAATAACTTTAACTGATATAATAAGACTTCTTAGGCTATCTATTTTGTCTTGGATGAACTTTGGTAATTTTTGCTGTTACTAATAGTAAGTTAGTACTAATCAATTAAGTATTATCTAGATATTAGGACTATTATCTAGACGATTATAACTAGATAAATATTTATGAGTTATGACAGCTATTCATAYTCTGGTCATGGAAATATTTTTATAAGAATTTTATAGAATTACTACTAGTAATTGCAAGGGGAAAAGTTATATCTGTACATGTTTTGGACATTCTAAAAATGTGATTTTGGGGTCAAATGATGTCCATTCATCTTTCACTGTATTATAGTCAAAATTGTTCTCCAGTGTTCTTACCTCTCCTGAATTCCTGGTTGTGAGAAAATCAGGCCTTTGTTGATGATGTAGAAGAACTTAATCTCCAGTATGCTGCTGCCTAGTATATCTGAGTGCCTASGTTCTTAATCATTAAAACTGGAAACACAGACATGTTATGGCCCATAAATACTACTAGGCATTTCCTAAGCATTCCACTATGAATTCAGGCAAAATCCCTGTTTTTTTTAAACAATAAATATTTCCAAAATGAGTCATTTAACTCTATTTCCTTGATACAAAAGGTGATTATTAAGAAATCTTGAATTTTCTTTGCATTGCATAAATTTTTGAGCATTTAATACCATTAATGCAAA